TCGCAGAGTTGACAGTGCCAAGATAAAGAACAGGTAGGGAATGAGGAAGAGAGCGTTGGCCAAGTGTCATTCAATTGCATATCCCAATTAAATAACAGGCAAAAGGGCGACGTAGCGTCGCGGAGCGTCCCGACGCCCCTAATTGCGAATAAAAAGGAAGTGAAATAAACACTCGTCGTATGCTCTTCCGACCCTATATACGACAACGCGACCACCCTGGAATCGTTCTCCGCTGTGTGAATGCATAAGTTTTCCAAGCGCGAAGCTTCTCGTGAATAATAAACGACTCTTGAGTTTTGTGTCGTTTTTTATAATGATCTATTTAATAAAATTATTATTAATAACACTATCAATGCAGTAAATATTTATATTATTTTTATATATATATTTCATTTCATTCACAATTCTATATCATTTTAAATATCATTTTCAAAGTATAATGAAATTTTTGATATGAATTATTTAATTCAATTATTTTATTCTACTGATAAGTTTTATATAAAATGAAAATAAATTTTAATCAGTATTATTGAATTAAATATTAATTCAATCTGCAATTTTTAATATATTTAACTCATTTTAAAACATTTTCAAATTTTAATTTTAACAAAAATTGGAATATTTTCATACACAAAAAAAAAAGATTGGAGTAAAATTTATTTGGTAGCTCTGGGGGTAAAATTTTACCCTGTAGCTACCTAGTAAATTTTATTTCTCACTACCAACAGAGAAGAAGTAAAATAAAAATAATAAATATTTATTAAACAGTGGTATATAACAGAAAAAAATGTTAATCACAAGCTCAAAAGTCTTTCTCTTTTTCGAATGCTTCATTATATATCATATGTAGCGTGTAATCTCTATAATCTCCTGCGTGCAGGTCTCTGCAAATAAACCAAAGAACCCGGTAGACGTGTTACGTTGAGAGTATATACCATAGGATCATCCCGAATTTATCCTTGCGCTTACAATGGAAAATATCGTCGAGGTCCGCAAAATACTTACAGACTTAGACTCTGTATATATCTGTATCTGTATATATATACATATAAGAAAAGTCTTGTTTGGAGAATTCAAGCAACGTTTATATTAACTTTACGACATGAAATCCTGTACAGTGTCCGGTGTATTTTTCTCACTATAGACATCCCTTAATCGAATTTCGATAGGGATATTTGGGTAAATAAAAGTAGATAAAGGAAAAAGAAACAGATTCAAGGGGAAAAAAGGGAAGTTGGACAATTGTCTGTCAATCATCTGACATCATAAATCCTTTTTATTCTCTTTGACACTGTCATTGGGAATCGATTAACAAGAAAATACCAACACCTCACAAGTCAAAAGCTTTGTTTAATTATTTAGTGTGTGGTAATCTTTCTTCTTTTATTGAAGCAGACTATTGCGGACATTTTCCTAGATATAGACAGATTCACGTTTGTATATTTGAACTCAAATGCATGCTTGTTTAAATTAGAATTATGTATTATTTTTAATTAAATTTTTTTTTTCCTGTACATTGGCCTCTGTCTCTTACTAGATTTAAAAACTTTTTAGCTCGATAAATATGATATATTTACCAGTAAAATTAATTCTTCTCACATGGTAATTGAATTTTAGATAAAATAATTCACAATTATTTGATGAAAAACAATACTTAATAAAATTTCCAACGAAAGAGATAAATCATTATTTTCTTTTAAATTCACCTACAATCTTGAGTTCACTCAATTATCGAGCTTTAAGACAAAATTACCAACTGTATGCACACTAATGTATATAATGAAATGAAAATGATGGGCCATAAGAATCTTATTCATACAAGCTAAGAAGCTTATATATTTTCCAACAGCACCCTTCAAACTGGCATTGAGATATAGCCTCAAACCGAGAGTTTCATCTCTTTTCCTTGAATGCCCAATTATCATTGTGAAATATCAACTAGGAAATTGGATAATGCTCAGAGATAAGGAGCCAGTACAGGATGAAATCAAGACTACTTCCACCCTCAACTTACAAATGCACGAATAAGTAAATGAAGAAAGAAACAAATTAAAAAGCTTATAATAATAATAAATACGGATGCAGACAAATATATACAGACTGAAATGCCAACGTTATATACTTGGAGTACACAATTGTGGTATTCTTGTAGTCTAAGCTTAACGGTGGTGCAGGTTATAGGTGTGGAGGTCATGATGAGAAAGGAAGGTGGAAAGGCAACAGTATATATATATATATATATGTATATCTACGACATTGGATGCGGAAAGCGGCAGTCACACGCGATTGCAGAAACCGCGGCGAGATGACACTCGTGCTAGCGCTAATTGGGCCCTCGAGGTGACGTTTCTGTTGGAGTAGAGGATGCGCCAGAGGGGCATGGCAAGAAGAGAGAGACTGTCAGTTGAAAAGGGGGTGGCTTTTTGGGTGCCTAGCGGAAGAGAGTCGGGTGGGTTGCGCACCCAAGTTTATAGCGAGAAAGAGGGCACGAGAGATCGCATTAAATCTTACCGGGTGCACGCCTCCACCATGCTCTTTATGTATTCTCAGTACCTCTTTATCTCTCCTGCCATCCCTGCCCCTCTACCAGGCTTCGTTACGCTTCAATATAAGTATATTTGCGCATTTGCGAGCCTCGTCAAAGGTTATTATGCATTAACGCGTGAATTAGGTGGAAAAAAAATATCGAAACGCTGCTGTAATTTTTTATACTGTGCCCAGAAATTAAAACACTCGAGGATTTTCATTATGTTGATACATTTTTTATTCATGAAAAAGTAGTAAGAATTATTTTTTTTTTATTATCATTTTTTGTTGCATATTAATTTTTCTAGAGGATTGTTGGATGTGTGTTTTTTTTTTATTTTTATAAAAGATACCTTGTGATAATAAATATTAATTAAAATATGCAATCGCATGAACTTGAATTACTTTTTGAGAATTTTCTGTATGATATTTCATTTAAATTCAAACATTATTTTTGTTTAAATAAATTTCTCTTTTCTATAAAATTGAAACTAAATTTACTGAAAATAATCATAAATATTTATTAAACTTTTTTAGTTAATAAATATTTTATTTTATTTCAAACATATTTTAACGTATTATTTAATCTTTAAAATAAAATTATTTCCATTGATTTGATAAAAATTATTTCGATTCATCATAAATAAAATATATACATACTTTTTTTTGTATTCAATATTCGTCATACAGAAACAAGGTTCATTTAAACAATAAAAAGAAAATTTGAATATCAACGCAACAAATTAATTCCATTACCCAGGAAAATTTCATTTATTTTGATCGATTGAATTTTTCATGCAACCAAAAAATATACACTGAAAATTATCCTTTCCAATGAATTAGTATCAATGAATATTGCTTTTTAAAGCATATTTGCAATGTTAATAAATACATTGAATTTCATGCTAAATAAAAAATAAATTTTATCATAATAGTAAGTTGGATATTTTTTTATCAATAAGTGAGATTTCGTGTTTTGGTGTAATAAACATTATTTCGTGATTGAAAATATTATTGTTATCAAATAAACAAACCGCTAAAAATACCATAGTCTCGTAATCTGTACATTAACTATATTTTTTAAACAAAATGAAATAAATTTATATTATTTTGCTGTAGAAAGGTGTCAGAATTTCAGTTAATTTTGATACATACAAAAATTTATTGTCACTCTCAAAATATCGTTGCACTAAAGATCATTATCATTCATGGTGTCTTAATTACTTTTATTTGTGATTACGTGAGAGTAAGTGTTTCTCGAGCATCTATTAATAGAAATACATTTAAAAAAAGTGTTTTAAACAAATTAAGTTTTTAAATATTGAAAATGTATTAAAAGTGACTACAATGCTAATCAAATGAGTGACATCATATTAAAATACATTAAGTGCATTGGAATAAAATACTTAGTAAAGCCCTGAGACAAAGGTGTAAAACACTAATGTCAGTGTAATTTTAATATATAAATAGTGTAAGAATATATTAAAAATAAAATTAAAATGAAATTTATCAGGCATTGAGAATTATTGGTGTCACAACACATAACTTTTATAGAATGAGTAAAATTACGAATAAGTTGTTTCATTCCTATATCTCTGATGCGTTTATTCGTTGAGCATACGAGGAATTTATGTAGATCATATCCACGTATATATTTTATTACATTATTCATAGCATTTACTAGAATGTTGAAGAAATGGCCTCATTAAATGTTTTACTACTTTTCATGAATTTTACGTATCCGTCTTTATTTGTAAAGATATTCTTTTGCAATTTTTCAAAACGATCTTAAAAAATTTTTTTACGATTTTTTAAGGAAAGAAGATTTCGTACTTTAACACCTCGTTCGAATAACCATTAAAACTAACTTGAAAACGACGACGATTCGTCTTCATATCAAAGTAATAGAAAAGTTGCTTTTTTCCACCACAAATGGCCAAACTTTATATAACTTTAAAATGCTAACACTTATGTTTCCTCCTTTAGCTTTATTTTATTATCTCTATTTTACATTCCCATTGATAATTGTTATATATATATATATATATCCCATCATATTTTTCGCTATAAACAAATACTTCATTTTTTTTTTATTAAACAAACAAAAATATCTTACACTTGAATTTTGTTTTTTCAACTGCTCTAACAGAAATTTCAATACGTAATTTCCCCTCTTACCCTTTTATTACTAAATAAAGTTACTTTGTTTCTTAGATGGAATTTTGTTAATATTTCAAAAGTCTCAGTGATAAAAATAAATAAATCTGTCGAGCATAAGAAAAAAATAATACAATTTAATGCTGCTTGTAAACAAATCCGATCGGGATAAAAAAAAAGTATGTGCACAGTATGACAAATGATATATATTTTTTTAGAGACTGAAACGTCAATTTTCATAACGTTGTATTAGTGTTTATCACAGATAGATAACAGGTTAGTTCACTTGGCTGAGCATTAATAAGTAGAAACTTCAGACGTAAGCAAGCAGTCTATAAATAATTTGTGTTACGTTAGGTAATATAGTGACTAAAATGTTGTCTCCTATTTTTTATGTGACATTATTGTTTTGGTCTTTACACCAGGTTCATGTATGGGTCAGTTATTATTTTCATATTTATTCTATTTTAAATTAGTTAATTATTTTTCTTCCTTTCTTTTTGTTGTCTAAAAATGTTTTTAGTTACATTCAATACCTCTTTCACATTTAATTGAAAATACTTCACTACAGTCGACTATTAATAGTTCAACTGTGTTCGAAAATACTCCTGAACAATCAGCCAAGTTTAATTACAAATTAGAGGTAATATTTTCTAAATTAAATTAGATAAATAAAAATATAAATTTTAATTTATAAATAATAATAGTATCTGTAAAATGCGTACATCTAAAATATTATAATAATTGTTTGTGACTTTAGCAATTATTTAATGATGACGATCTCAATGGATTACCACACAAGAAAGTTATAATTGAAGCTCAGGTATGATTGTTGGAATTTTTTTTTTTAAACAGTTTGTTTATTTATTTGATGTTATTCTCATGTGTTAAATGATGGTTTAAAATTTTTATATTTTAGATCAATGGTAAAATGTTTGTGATAAACAATGAAAATTCCACAGAATGGAATTTGATTAATCAATTAATGAATATTGAGATTCACAAACGTCGAGATCATGTAGTGTTTGATCAAACGGTAAATAAAATATTGTTAAAATAAATTTTTTATTAATAACCATTTTTATTATTAAATTAAAATTGTGTTTGAAAGTTAAATTCATTAATTATGTAGAGATTAAACAATAAAAATTAATGATAATAATTGTTTGCAGAGAATATCTAATGATTCTTCAACTGACATTATTCAACTCAGAGACATCATTGCAGAACCATGAACATCAAGTGTTTAATGAAAAAAAAAAAAAATACTGAATTAAATATTAGGAAGAATAATTATATGATTAATAAGTGTATAAAATCATTCGACAGTACTAATTATTATTACTCAATAGTTTAAAGGAGAAAAAAAGAATTAAAGTCAGAGAGTGAAATTTAAAAAACGTCTATTTACTAGGAAACTTTCTTTTGTTAATTTTCAGTATAGTCACGAAAAAATTCGACACATCTGGTGTGACTAGAAAAATTCATTACCAAAAAGCTTGCAAAAACTTACAAAGACACCTGCTTCGTACGCACGTATCTTCGTTCACGCTTTATTACTACCTGCCGATTGAGTTATGGTCAGTTTAAAAATGGACACCTGAATTTAGTAGACAACTATTCGTCGATTAGATATGGTCACTCGAAGGTTGACAAAACAACAAGTACTTTCGATTGGTCATATTATTTTTTAAACCACTAGTTTGCTTTCATTTTTATAAAATTAAAAGTAGTACAATTTTGTTACATAAAATGGGTTTAGGTCAATATTGAACTAATTTTTTGATCAAATTTGTCTGAAATTAATATCTTCAGTGATTTCCGAAATATTATTAACGAAAAAAAAATCGGACATCCGTACGAATAATTGTACGTACGTACATACTTACATTTTTAAATTTTCTAATACAAAATTACTTAACTCCTTTTATCATAAAAAAATTATGAAAAATTTCTAAAAAAAAATAGTTGGTAATAATTTATTTATTTCAAGTAATTTTTTTTATTGTAATTTTATGCAATAAAAAGGTGTTATGATCATTGTTAAAAAAAATATGTCGTAAACTAAATTTAAAATTAACTAATTTTCTCGAAATAATAATGAATTAATTAATTTATTAAAGGAATTTAATTATTCTATAACCAATATTTTAGGTGCAACAATATTGCAAAATTTTTAACAAGTAAGTTCTGACACCTGTCTTACTCTCTATTCTCGTTTGTGGTTACCTATTCACAAAAGTTTGTATTGTATAGAAGTATTTCAAAAACGAACAATGCAGTCATTCAATTTTCAAACCGATAGTACTAGAAAAATTATTGAATATTTGATGCTTAGTGTAATGTATTCTTGGTTAAAGAATTTCTTGAACGATCAAAAATACATTAAACCAATAATAATAGCATATCAACAATGGATAAATTCAATTCAACAATTTTGTAATTAATCATTCAATTATTATTTAAATACCAAAATATTCTTTATGCTTATCTTTATTGAATTATCATTTTTCAAACATTTTTTATCGTTATCATTTTTATTTACTCTGATAAACTAAATATCTATACAACACTACAGATTATCGAAATTTAGACTATAAATTTTTTGAAATTATGCAATTTTTCGACGAATAATGACCAAATTAATCAGCTTATTTCTGACTAATGAACTGACTTGGTTCCAAAAGTGAAAAAAATTTTCAAATTAAAATATGAATATAAAAGAATCTTTTTCCCTGATATTTCAGTTCAAACAAAAAGTATAATTAAAAAGTTCACTATTTTATCCAGCAAGAGTCTAAAAACTATTTGACTTTTTTTGAAGAAAGGAAGAATGTTCTTTTCCAAGATTGAAAACAAAAAAAAAAAAAATTTCGCATGAATTTAGCAGTAAAAATGCTGTTATAACGTTGACGTAAACGATTTTTAACCAGTCATGAATCACAATACTCAAAGCAATGCATTACCTCTTGGCTAGTTGAACACAATGACTGGTGACTCTTTTGATAGCAGACTGGATAGAAAGAAAATGCATCATGTCATTCGGTCTAACCATCATGTCAGCTACAATTCAGCACCTAACTCAACATGAATACTAATACAATAATACATGTTCTGATCACTAAACACGTGGAAAATATATTTTAGTTAATATCATAGCAATATGCTTTTGACGTCAGGTTCAACGTTTATTATATCCTAGCTAGTTTGCTTCAAATATTGCGAAGTAATGTTTGAAATCGATTAGGGCGGTGGAATATTTAAAATTTGTCATAGGAAATGAATGATATTAGGAAAGTGTTTGAATGATTCTTTGATTTTTTGTCTGTCTGAGAGGTCCAGAGTATGATGAATGAAGGTGTGGTTAGTCTAGAAGAGGAAAATGGAGGTCGACTGGTTGACATAGTACATGATGACTTGGGGAGGCTAAGAATCTTGAAGGGTATGTAGTAGTTGGTGGATGATAGGAGGGCGGAGACGAATGAGAAGAAGATCCAGGTGTCACTTTTAGTTCAGAAGCCCCAGGGACAAAGGCATGATGAATGTCTAGCAAGTTAAAATATTACATGACGACCTCGAATACATCAGTTGTCAAGCTCTCTAGCATACCTCAAATCGTTATCTTGTAGGTAAAATTACTGGAGATAAACTAATAAATTGTTTGGTACTGTATAAACCACCACTTAACTTTGGATTTTTATTTCTCTTTTGGAGACACTTTTCGAAATAGTGATCGTTAAAAAAATGAATGAAAATAAAAAATCTTCTTTGTTATAAACCAGTACTTGTCGTGTTTTGTGGAGACCGGATGCCGCCGCCAGTCAATTCCTCAGCAGGAGGCCATTGGTGCAAAGTTTCCGAGAAGCTTTTTCCTCATCGTAACTGTGAATATAGTAACCATGTCCCTGAAGAAACCACCTGAATGCAACGGTAATTGCAGTCTCACCTGCAGATTTATATTTCCGGTCTTACGTGACTTTTTCAAAGTATCCCAATTTTATGGAAAGACTATTATACATGTCAAATTAATCAATGAAAATGTCGAGTTTTTGCTGATCAAAAATACTTGAGTCATTTTATGCTTGAAGTGATTGAGTAAATCTTTGTTACAAAATGGGAAATACTTTTTGATGGATGTTGTAAAAATTTTAACATGCACTCAAGTATTCCTTTCTTCATTTCATACAAAATAATCAGGAAAATTCATTCTATTTAAATTTTTAAAAACTCCTCTGATTAACATTGAATTTAAAATAGGTTTGAGTGCACTCTGTGCCCTAAAGACAAACTTTCCTTTGATTAAATTCGTAATTTAGTCATCTTTTAGTTGTTTTTGTTAATAACGAATTATTATTGTTATAAACAATATATAATTATTTAGAATCATGTGTAAAAATAACATCTATTTCAAATATCTTTTTTACTTAACTTATTTTACAGTCTTTTTTGTTATTAAAAAAATAGCTGGACTGAATTTGTTTAAACTTCTTTCAAATCTTCTTCAATGTACGTACGTACATAAATTTATTTTTGAACCTTCTAATATGGTTTTAAATGTCTCAAAACGTGAAGATATAATAAAATTATCAATATCAATAATCGTCTTCATCACAATAATTTTCTAATGGAAAATTAATAATTATATTTTCATAATTCAAAAATTATTATAATTACTATTATTGTTATTACTTTTTTTAGTATATTAAATGACAATGAATTTCAAAGAAGTTGTTAAAATCATCAAGGATCTAATTACAAAAAATAATTAAACTTCAATGATTATGTTGTTAATGTAATAATAGATTGTAAATGACTGTTGTGGTATTCTTTGTCATAACAATCAACTACGATCTTTTAAACATTTTCCTACTGCGTAAAAATGAGCTTTGAACTTGTATTCAACATGATAAAGGGGACACAAAGTTACTTGAGCACAATGGTCCTTATTTTTATTACCGTTTAACAGCATTATTTCCAATGTATTCACTCAACTAATCCATATTTGGTTTCGATAAAAAAAATTCAGAAGTCATATAATCCTCAAGCTACAGTTTACTGTCAGATTAAAATAAATATCTAACTATCTACATCATTTTTATAAAATTCATTTACATAAACACTTCCAAGTATTTCTACGTACTGCATATTTTTATGCGTTGTATTTCTTGCATCACAAGGGGGATGATGAACAAAGAAAAATATCTCCAATATTCTTTGTCACAAACTCTACTCTTTTATCTATTTTTAATCCAATAAAATAACCATCTTATTTATTTAACTAGAGTATTAAAAATATTTTTCCAAGAAATTGATTCTTAAAATTTAATTTATAATAAAATAAAAAATTTCAACTGATGCAGTTAAGAAAAATGAATTCGCATTATTCTAAATTTATCTTCCTCCTTTTGTGATTTGTCCATCTATTGGTCACCCTACACAATATTCCGTTAGTATCATTTATTATTTTTCCTTACTATAAAGACCAAGGACACTAAAAATTACTGAGAATTCTGTCTCCATGAACTAGAATCGTGTGACGATTTATCTCATAATTCTTATGATCGTTGATCTTTGATGATGAGGTATTTCATATGGTCTAGTGCGCGTGTCTAACACCTGGTGAATTCAGGCTTTTTCTTGAATCTAAACTCCTAGCTACTTGCCTCTTCCTCCCCAATCTTATTCCATTGTCACACTTTCCTTTTTGCTTTTCTTCATAGCCGCTATTGTCCCATGTATCTCGGGAAAGGCCACGCGACTCGAGGATTTGAAAAACCGCAACACCATGAGAAAATTTATTGACCTTTACCTCCGTTATCCACGCTCCTTATTCTTTGTTACTTGTTCAAGTTTATAAAAACGATTGTGATAGATATCCACGAGGCACACGTTCTTTTTTGTATGACTTATATTTCCTCGATCGATATACCTACTGCTGTTAAAGTAGACGACAATTATGTTATTTATTTATTTTTAGATGATATTTTAGATAAATTATTGTTGAAGGAAAATACCAGAAAATCTATTCCACTAAAAAATAAAAAGTGTCATGAATGAATGACCTTGACAAAACATCGCGGTCGTGCTAGTAAAGCCGTTGAGTCAGGAGAACAAAGAATTTCTGTCGTTCTTTGTCCACGAGGGTACCAATCCCTTCACCCCTCGACTATTTTCCTTTTACTCCACTCTACATACCGAAGACGTCGATTATTTTGTCTCTCTTTTATATTTATAAATGTTTCTCTTATTTCATCATTATTTTTTTTTCTTCTCATTTTCAATTAATTTTTATTTATTAATTTTGTTTTTTTTTTTATTTTGACTTCTGGAGCAGAAATTATATTGCCACTTATGAATATTCATCAAGTTTAACCCTTCATTCAGCAAATACTAGAGAGTTATTACTAAGATTTAATCATACTTTAAACAGCTTTTGATGCTGCTAAAATGGATACATTTTTTTTTCTTTCTATGAAAAAGAAATTTCGGCATTAGATTCTAAGAATTTTTGTTGATGTTTGAAATTTCTCAAGTGTAAAAATATCTTTTATATGATGATACTTAAAAACATCTTTTCCGAATAAAAAAAAAATAGTGTAATATCATATAAAATCGCTGAATAGTGAATGTCATTGAATACGAATGTTAGAAATGGTTCACAGTATAAATTTCCGAATTCCTATTAAATTTGTAGTGTCACCAGGCGATTTATCACGAGCTCCAACGTACTTTCAATATATTCTTTTCATTTCTGAGCATGAGAAAATTTTTATAGCAACATGACCGAAATTAATTTTTAATTCAATAATAAAACTTTGAGAATAAGGTAATTTTTTTTTTACAGC